TAACTATCATTGATGGTCCACCCGTATCTAGCCATGGTGCACATATATGCAGGTCTGGTGTCACTTCATTGGTTTCTTGTGGTTACGTAGATGCATTTAATGGGTTTTATTTAAATGAAGTAGATGGAACCTATCAGTCAAACTTAATCTTTATAGACAAGATGTCATCCGTCGGTGGTGAAAGTGGAGGTCCTGCTTACTATTTTTCGGATTTTTCAAATTTGAGGTTGGTAACTATAACTGGCATATTCACAGCGAGTCTAAGAACTCAAGATAATCCTCGTTATCCTTTTGGTGTGGTAATGCCTAAAGAAATTATTCTTGCTAATTCTCAATTGGATTTAATTACTAGATTTTAGGTCTATATATTGTCCAAAACTTCTTACATTTAACTAGCACATCACTTACGCTGATGATTTTATAAACAATTAATAATTTATTAAACTACTATCATTATTACTGTAATCATTACATTATTTTTGTTTATTGCACTTTGTATCATTAGAACTTTGTCACATTTTAATATAGTATAATTAACTATTATTTAAAAGCAATGCGAATAAATAAGAAAATCTTTCATGCAATTTAGAGATTGTATCGGGTCAAGTTATCAGATATTCGGGTTGTAAACACGGCTGCCCTGTGTTACTATCAAATCGGGAGTGCATCTAAAATTAATGGTAGAACTAGTAATAAAGCGCCAGCGTTTTATAGGACTAAACCAATCCTGTGAAATCTGATAAAAAAAAATGAATCTATTAAGTCTATTTCTTTTATATATTTAATAGTTTATTATATTTTCAAACCTGATAGTCTCTCAATAATGATACAAAACCAGTCCACCGTGCATATCAGATTTGGGAAGTCCAACTATATATAAGTTTATTGGTTTTAAACTTCAATAAAAAAAATGGTATAGTTAGTATAGTAATTTATAGATTTTCATAATTGTTATAAGGCCACACAAAAAGTTAATTTTTCGTTTTGCATTACTGCCGACCCAAATTTTTCAAAACCTTAATTTTTTTTTTTTTACAATAAGGTCACACCAAGTTAATTTTTTGTTGGCATTACCCGCCAACCTGAACTTTTCAAAAATTCAATTTTTTCTTATTTTTTGTTTTAATTTAATAAATAAATATAAAGATATTTAAAAATCATTTGAGTCTAATTCAGAAAATAGAATATTTCGGGATGTTCCCTTTATGAAATCTTATTTGTTGAATCTGCAAATTTCAAATTTCAGGAGAATGATTTTTCGGCTAATTTGGTTAAGTTTGTTTCGGCATAATAGGTTCAATAAAAGGATTCAGAATTAGACAGTAATAGATAAGGCCACACAAAGTTAATTTTTCAAATCCTCAATTTTTTTTTTAAAAAAAAAAACAAAAATTTATTTGAAAACAAAATAACGAGATTTTATTTTAATCGTTCTAATCCAAAAAAAATCAATACTTATTTATATAATCAAATATAAAGACATACAAGATTTGCTCGATTCTAATTCCGAAAAATAGAGTAATTTCGAAACATTTCTGATGGATTGAATTTAATATAGAATTGTGTGTAAAATTTATAATTTATTTAACGCATGATTATACTAATGGTGCTGAAATTTGAACTTATTTGTTTAAAGTTAGGAGTTAGTAGAGATCATAATAAAGGTATAAGAGTATATGTGGATTATAGTATGGTTTATATTTCCAAATCAGACATAAAGTTTTAGCATCATCCATCTCAATATTAGAGTTAGTAGAGATCATAATAAAGGTATAAGAGTATATGTGGATTATAGTA